ACTGTATGTGGCCAACATGCCTAAAATATTCACTATCTAGCCTTTTATAGAAATAGTCTGCCGACCCCTGGGGACTGTCTAGCTCACTTAGATAGGGCTTAATGGAGACAGGCTACCAAGGGCAGGTTATAAACTTACAGGAGTTTCTTCTCCACTTTATCTCTTTGGAAGAGGTAATTTCCATTACTATCTGCCCAGATGTCTCATCTAGCCAAGCATAATACAAGCCAAAAATAACACAAATTTATCAAATACCAGTCTCTTTAAAAAGCCAACAATTTAAACCATTAGCGTTTTATAATCACAAAGCTCTCCCCTCCCCTACACAATTAATCATACTTGGACACGTGCCGCGCTTTGAAAATTCTAATTGGTGATTAGGTCAAATGGAATCCTATGTAATTGTTAGCATATGCAAGGATGGATAATCACTCCTGATGAACACTATGACTGGGGCATCACAAAGGACAATTTTATAAAAATTCTAGTCAGCATGATACCAACTATAGAGTGGCTAAAGAAAAATGTACTTTGTACCGAATTATTATGCTTGCCTATGTTTTTGCAAATAAAATTATTCCAGGGCAGTTAAAAAAGCAAAAAGAACTCTTAAAAAAATTACACCCACAAACCTTAAATCTGTCTCCGTAATGGTATCACCCAGACCACCGACATATAGTGTGGTGATAGTCTTATCCTCTGGTGGGTCCAGACGAGGCATGGTGGAAGCCCGCTTTAGAAGCTTATCAGCTACAGGGTCATTGATTCCATAATATCTGTCTTTAATATTCTGATCAGCAAGGGGGTCATCTGGATCTGTAGGCTTCTCATGTCTATCATTCAAGAAAAAGCAATGCATAAAGATGAAACAAAAGGAAAAAATGCTGGTATTTTCCAAAAGTAGCTACATATTAAGAAAAGTCCCAAATACACACCCTGAAATGCCTTTTGAACTAGAAAGCACAGCCATACCAAAATATAATTAAAAACAGAACTAATACCAAGGATTTACTAATATCAAGGGATTTATCACACTAGGACTTCCCAGCCTCCTAAAAGCCATTAGGCCATCTAGGGTGTCCAACTTCCCTTACAAAGAAACACTTTTGGCATGATCAACCCCAAAACAAAAGAGGACACATGGTTACCCCTATCTACGTCAATGGTTCTTAACATATTTGAGGTCTTGCATTCCACTGAAAATTTGATTAAAGCTATGGACCCAGCCCCAGAAAAAGGGCATATATTATTTTTTGGGGGATGGAACAGGCTTAACCAATCCCAAATTAAGAACTCCTAATTCAGATGCTTGGCAGTCTTAACTGAAACATACTTACAAACTCTTTAGAAGTCTGGTCTTATTCTGAATTTCAGTATACATTGAGAGTCAAGCCATTTATACCATGACGGTGAGGACTTACTTCTCAGGTAGAAACTTTTAGGGTCAGCATCTATACTATATGGCATAGCAAATTAGTTTCCCAAGGCTCAGCCATAAATAAAATCTATGATTTAATCAAGCTCTTCTAAATTTCACAGTTCTAAAGTATGAGATATACCACACTAGTTGTGTGAGCTTTGGATTTTAAAGCAGAAATAGTATAAACTAGCACCTCCCATTTCTTAGAAAACCAATCATCTGAAAGCAAATGCGGAAAATGAGGCTCAGCTCTTACCTGTATGGACACTCCTCTCCTCTCTTGCACTCTCCTTTCACCCAGAAGGAGCAAATGTGGGGCCGATTCCTTTTGTAGTAGGGTGTGGTCCGGGCCAGTTTGAGTAGCATGTCACTGGTAGACGTGGCTTTCCCCAGCATGCCAACCGGCCGTGTTCCATCAGAGTTAGAAATCTACAGGGGATGACAAATTCAAAAGATAAATTATATACACTGTGTCGATTCATTAGGGTTTTTATCAAAAAAGTGGCTGCATACCTCTCTCTCCATGTTCTGTGTATAGTACTCTTTGTTGACGTCTGACTTTGGCATGTCATCTTTAAAAGACAATCCTGCATCACGAACCTGGATGGGCAGGCCTAGTACAAAGGAAAGGAGGAAAAAAACCCCTCAGATATATTTAAAAACATATCCATACTGGATATGCACACAGAACACATCATCCTTCCCTTCTCCACTTTCCTACTTGGTACCAGGCACTTGATTATATTTTTATTCGAACTCTTTAGCACCATCAGGCTAACCAGGCTATACAGCATGCTAAGAAATTATCCCAGTTCCTGAGCTGTCATGAAATTTGATGAAATGAATACTTTAGAAAATTTTTTAGATGAACAAACTTTGGTGACAGTCAGATTTTAACCTGTAAATTAATAAAGTATCTGAGTTTTTATTACAACACAATTTATTTAAAATAAATGTAAAAAGTAGTTTAATTTTAGGCTGGTCCTACAGATCCTCTGGATAGTCATAGTAAGGGTCACTGTATTCCAAGACCAGAACACCTCCTTAACAAACGTATAAATAACATCATATAATATGTGGCAAGGACTGTGACTAGCAGAGTAACTTTGATGAACTTAACATACATAAACTCATACATTTTACTTTTCCCTTTTATTTTGTAGTACAGTAGAAACTGTTGTTGGTAAACTGTTTTTCTCAAAGGAAAAAAAAGTCACCTACAGTTTAAAAAAAAAAAAAAAATCACTCCCAAAAGCAGTTACTCTGAAACAGTCATAACACGATACATTAGTCCTAACAATGCAGTTGAGACAAAAGTCTAAAGCACAATTCGCCTATGAGCTTTTGGTTGAGATTGTGGAAAAAAGCTTCGGATCAAGAAAGAAGCCCAAGGCAAATAAACTACCTATTATAGAATCAATGCCTTTTACCTCACCTTGGCTAGATATCTAGGTTTAAGCCAGTTGTGATTAATTCCCAACTTTCCAGTTAAGTTCCTATTATTATTCAGAAGGACTCTAGAGTGGTCTAATTATGGTTCTCTTCCTGAGAAAGGCAGACCACAGCACATTCCAAAGTGGAATCAGAATAAGAGATAGGGTGACAAGTCGGAGACAAAAAGACTGCTTTGTTGTTTAAGGCACCTGCCCACACTTCCAGATCTATTGGACAGGACGAGCATACCATACTCTAGGTCTAAGAGGCAGGTCTGACAGACATTCTTCAATTTACTGCAGGTTTGGCATACTTCAGTCTTCTTGAACCGCATGCGGACTCCAGGACACCAGCGAAACACTGTGAATGGCCTGGCACAGATCTGGAACACAAAGCAAGAGCCACTCACTGATTGTTAATGTCCTGATCTGGACAATCAATCTAGGAGGATCTAGAAACAATGGGGGATTCAAGAAAGGAACCCTGAACCGAGGGCTTAGAAGAGACTTTGGCAATCATCTAGTCTAAACACCACCTGATGTTTCAATCCTATTTTCAGCACCCTTTCCCAGTAGTTAAAAAATTCACATAGTACAGAAGTGAAGTATTCAAAAAGTCAAAGTTCCCCTCATCCTAGAGATAGGCACCATTACTAAGCTGAATCTTGGTCTTTTTTGGAGGGAGTGAGGAATGTCATTTAAACCTCTGAGAATCTTTTTTTTTTCCCAAGACAGAGTCTCTCTCTGTTGCCCTGGGTAGAGTGCAGTAGCATCATCATAGCTCACTGTAACCTCAAATTCTTGGGCTCAAGCGATTCTCCTGCCTCACCCTCCTGAGTAGCTGGGACTACAGGTGCGCGCTATGACACCCGACTAATTTTTTTATTCTTAAAACAGGGTCTTGCTCTTGCTCAGGCTGGTCTCAAACTCCTGAGCTCAAGCAATCCTCCCGCCTTGGCCTCCCAGAGTGCTCGGATTACAGGTGTGAGCCACTGCAACCGGCCCTTTTGAGAATCTTACAAACTTGTTCATGCCCTTCCGTGGACACCATAAGAATCCCTACATTAGAGGGTTCACTTTCTTACTTCCTACACCAAATACTTACCAGCCAGTGAATGCATCAATGATATATGAAAGTTGTACAGCACTTATTTTTATCAGAGGATCTCAAAACTTAGCAAGCTGAAGGCTAATTTGGTAGAAAAAAGGAAAATAAATGAAATCATTACTCTTTAACAGACATACTTACTTTGCATTCCTTTCCATACTTTTCTTTGGTCTAAAATAGGAAAAAATAGAAAAGATCTAGAGTTACAGAAAGGAAAAACCAGATGCCTACTCTTTCCCTAAAAACAATCCAAGAAATGTATATGGAGACCCCTAGCATCCTAAAGAGAAAAAAACAAACAAAAAACACCCAACCTTTTTTAGGGGGGAGGTGGGGACATAATATACTCTAACAACATACTGTGAGTTATAATATCTCATGAGTCTGTGGATCTAATATCAAGTAGGTGTCTTTCCACAGCCACAACTCTTAGGCTTATTTCTGGCTCCCAACTTGGCCCCCAAGAACTAAAATTCCTAAGAGTTCACATAGTTCTTAAATCAGGGGGGAATACAGCCATGGCCAGCCCATTTTACAGAGTTTAGTCAGCAGGTAACCACTACAGACCTGCCTTGTGTTGATGCCTTGTATATAGCAAATGGTTTGTTCCCACCAGCTACTGAAACATCTTGAATACACTAGCATATCAATACCTCTGAGACGGATCACAATAATAGAGCCCTAACCCAATTATTGTTAACTGCTGCCAATTTTATCCTTATTTATAAGGATGAGGGTACCTAACACTGAAGAGACATGGTACATTGGTCAAAAGACATTTGACTTGGATCCAGGAAACCTACTTTCTAGTCCTGGTTCTTCTCCTACCTTGCAGAGATCCCTGGAGTCAGAATATCTGAATTTAAATCCCAGCTCCCCTTACTCACTGTATGAAAAGACACAAACTCTCTCAGCCTCTGGTCAACAGACCTACTTTCTAGGTAAATGCTCAACAAATATTAGCTTCCATTATGACCCCTACATTACAGAATTGTTGCTGAATTCCTAAGTGAGAGAATAAGCATGACAGTCCTTTGCAAATCGTCCAGCGCTCGAGGGTTAGAAAAAGAGCATCATTTCTTCTGCCTGTCTAAAAGAAACACTTCACAGTGTCCAAGTACCGCAACATTGACAGAACATGAATAACTCCCGTTTCACACGCGATCACTCACCATTCGGATATATGGGTTTTCTCCAAGACACGTCTGGCACAGAATGGGGAAGTCCTAGTGAAGATGAGAAATGTGAGCACCATGCTCCCAAGACCCCGCCACCTCAGTCACACAAGTGGGGGCGGTGATGGGGGAGGGGCGGGAGCGAGGGTGGGAAACAAGGCAGGGCAGGAACCTCAAGTCCAGCACGGCCCTGTCGCGGGAGGGGGCGCTGTCTGCACTTCCGGCAGGCGGCGGGAGAAAAGAAAACCAGCTCGAATAGGTTGAAGGGGGCAAGGATGGAAAGGGGGCCGGTCCCGGGACCCTGGCTAAGCCTCCTCCCTCCAAGCCCGCAGGAGATCGCCCTCCGGCCTCCTGCTCCTGCCCAGCCAGGCCACGGCGCGGGCGCCTCCCCGAATTCCTTCGGCCGCGCGGTAGCCCGGGTCCTGCCCGCCCGCATGGTGCCCTGCTTCGCCGCCTCCTCCGGCAGGCACACTCACCGCATCCTCCCAGTTCTGCCTGTTGTAGGTGTTGGAACCCAGAGAGGTCGCCATCTTGGGAGCGTCGGGAGGCAGCGGTAGCTTCCGAGTTGGGAGAGAAGACCGCCACAATCCCGTCAAACCCCGAGGCTGGCGCCGGGCCTGTAGACGTCTTATTTAGGCGTCTAGCGCCTCTTCCGGGGCGGGATCTTGCGTCATGACGTCGCCTGCTCTTGGAATTTCCTTGTTTAACAAGTGGGGTCCGGGTACACTAAACACTTTGTTGCTTCTTTTGAGTTTATGCCCAATTGGAATGGAGGGCCACAAGTACAGTTGATTTATTTAAGAATTAGGCGGAAGAATAAAGGAACAAGTAATGAATGAGGGGCTGGGATTAAAACAGCGTTGACTCCACTAAGCCCTTATTATGCGAAACGCTGGGCGAATGTCTTGCGGTGCCAGTGTCTCATTTAATTCTCACAATAACCTCTGTGGGGTTGCCAGATTTAGCAAAACAAAACAAAAACAGAACATCTAGTTAAAGTTGACTCTCAGATAACAAATTATTTTTAAAGTATAAATATGTTTGGTATTTATACTAAATAAAATAGGTTTAGTCGTTTATATGAAATTCACATTGACCTGGGTGTCACCTGTATTTTATCTGGCAACGTTACCCTCTGGACAGGATGATGAGCCCTCTTCTATAGGAACGGAAATTGAGGTTTAGAGAGAGATTAACCTGCTCCTGGTTGTGGAGTTAGTGGCGATTGAAAGACGTTAGTACTGTTTTCCAACTTCAAAAATGAAAGGATTTTATGGATCAACACATGCATTGTTATTTGATTTTTGAAACAACTCATAACCACTCTGCTAATATTCTACAAATTTCAAGCCATTCTGGTACCACTTTCATATTTGACTTAACCTACCATCAAACTAACAAATAACATTTATTTAAATCACCTCATTTAAAAGAAAGTCAGATTTGGCCGGGCGCGGTGGCTCACGCCTGTAATCCTAGCTCTCTGGGAGGCCGAGGCGGGCGGATTGTTTGAGCTCAGGAGTTCGAAACCAGCCTGAGCAAGACCCCGTCTCTACTAAAATTAGAAAGAAATTAATTGGACAACTAAAAATATATAGAAAAAATTAGCCGGGCATGGTGGCGCATGCCTGTAGTCCCAGCTATTCGGCAGGCTGAGGCAGGAGGATCGCTTGAGCCCAGGAGTTTGAGGTTGCTGTGAGCTAGGATGACGCCACGGCACTCTAGCCCGGGCAACACAGTGAGATTCTGTCTCAAAAAAAAAAAAAAAAAAAAAGTCAGATTTATTTAAAGTATAATTTACCTATGGTAAAATTTTACCCTTTTTAGTTGTACAGTTTTGAATTTTCACATATATTCACCATATCAAATATAGTTCATCATCCCCAACAGTTCTTTTGTTTCTGTGGCCAATCCACTTATCCCCATACTCAGCCCATGGCAACCACTGATTTGTGTTCTGTACCTAGATTTGCCTTTTCCATAATATAATAGAATAGAATCCCAATAGCCTTTTGGGTCTGATTTCTTTCACTTAGCATATTGTATTTGAGATTCCTCCATATTGTATCAGTAATTTGTTCCAATTTATTGCTGAGCAGAATTCCATTGTATGGATATACCAGAGAGGATTTTTTTTTCTTTTTATGGTCCATTTGCCAGTTGATGGACATTTGGGTTGTTTTCAGATTTTAGTGACTATAAATAAAACCATTATAAACATTCACATACAGGTTGCTGTATGGACATAGTTTTCTCATTTTGCTTGTGTAAATACCTCAGAGTGGGATTTTTTTATCATAGGGGAAGTGTATATTTTCCTTTATAAGAAAGGTCTTGGGTTTATCAAAACTTCTCGAGTCCATGATTTGTTGCCTTTTATTATACTTTGAAAATTCTCAAGCATCGTCTTTTCAGATATTCTTTTGCCCAGTTTCTTCTCCATGTGAGATTCCAATTTCACATGTTAGACTGTTTGGTATCGTCCCACAGCTCTTAACACTCTGTTGTGGTTTCACTCTTTTTCTCTTTACGTTTTTGTCTGGGCAATTTCTGTTGACCTATCTCCCAAGTTTGTTAATTGTTTCCTCATCTATGGCAAGCCTACTGATGAGCCCATTGAAGGTACTCATTTCTGATTTTTTTTTTTTTTTTTTGAGACAGAGTCTTGCCATGTTGCCTGGGCTAGAGTGCAGTGGTGTCATCATAGCTCGCTGCAACCTCAGACTCCTGGGCTCAAGCGATTCACCTCAGCCTCCTGTGTAGCTGGGATTACAGGCATGCACCCACACACACAGCTGACTCTGTGTTTTCTATTTCACTTTACCTCTCTGCTGAAATCTGTTCGTATATATTATCCATATTTTCAATTATTCAACATTGTAGGTGCCAAAGGAAAACTTCCCCTTTTCCCTCTGAAAGTTCGCTGAAAATCAGTTGACAAAATGCAGATTAGTAGGAGAAAAGGCATACAAATTTATTTGACCATGGTTTTACATGACATGGGAGCCTTTGGAATGAAGATCCAAAGATATAGGGGAAACTGCCCATTTTTATGCTTTGGTTCAACAAAGTATGGACAGCTGTGTAGAAATATGATTGGACAAAAGGGTATGACCTAATGCTTGTAGACCAAGCAAGGCCTGTCCGTCTAGATTCTTCTTGGCCTCTCTATATAGCATTCCTACCTTCTGGGTATGAGGCAGGGCTCTCTCTAGAATGGGGGTCTTTTGGCCTATAATCAAAGTAGATCAGGTAATTTCTTCGCAGCCAGTTTTAAAATATAAAGGGAAGGGAAAGTTTTTTTAAGGTTTTATGGCTGGCTTTGGGGAAAAGGGGTTCTGGTTTCTGACTCTCATTGGGGGAGAGGGAGTCTAGTTTTTATGACTAGCCTTGAGGGGGAATGAGGGGCCAGACAGGAGGGTAGGAGGTCAGAGAAAAACTCTTGCTTCTGAGGCCTTCATTTTGGGGTATTGTTTTGAGCCTTAACACCATGTTAGTCTCTGTCCATTAGTTGAACAGCTGGTTCATTTTTGTGTACGGTCCTGTAGATTGCTTTGTGACAATTTGGGTGTTTCTGTTTTTTATTGAATGCCAGTCCTTGCTTATGTAACAGCAGGGTTGTTTTTTTTTTTTTTCTTATGTCTCAAATTTTCTATTGAATGTCAGTCATTGCTTATATAATAGTAGCATTAATGCTTGGGAATAGGCAAGACTTTTCTGTCGGGCCATTCGTGTGGGGTTTGGTCAATCTAGTCAGGAGTTGAGCTGGGTTTGGGTTCTGTTGTTGCTATAGTCATCTTCAATATATCAAAGATTTCACAGCCTCTAGCATTATTTTGTACTTCAGTTTGGGGCTGAAGAACTTGTCTCATGGTCATGCCTCATCCCTAGCTTACAGCTGTCCTGCACACCTGGACAGCATTGGTCTCTTTCTATGCCCTGCCCATGGCTCAGCAACTGATGCTTGTTACTAGCTGCTTGCTAGGCTGGGTACTGGGGGATGGGTAAAGGGGTTCTTTGTTGTTCTCATTCAATTCAGCTTCAGTCTTTAGCAGGCCCTGCGTGCTTGGGCCTGAGGAATGGATCTTTCCTCAGCATTCTTCCCTCTGAAAACTGGGTAAGATCATTTAAAAAGTGCCGAGAGAAAATAAGCGTAAGAAATGAGACATGATACATCACAAGCTTGGGAAGATGGGAAAGAACTAGTAAAGAATAAGGAAGAAAAGTTTCCAGTAAGGTAGATGGAAAACCAGGAGTGTTGGTGTCCTGGAACCAAGTAAAGGATTTTCAAGAAGGGAGAGATCAA